TTTTTGCTTCGACATGTAAGTTCAAAAGAAAATTTGTTTATTCTATTATTATTAAGAGAGCAAATAAGAAATATATCGATAAATAACACAAGTTTAGTTTTCTTATTGTCTCTTCATATCTATAAAAATAAAGTCATAATACGTATATCGTTATGTATTTTTGGAATGGATGCATAGTTCATATGCGTGTTTAAGAGATTTTCGGACATTACTAACCAATCCTTAAAAATCCTTAGTTATTCTAATTTGGGGCGATTCCGAGACCATTAGATTTAACATTTTGTATTGATAATCCGTTACCGTTACCGTTACCGTTGTAGGAAAATCGAAAATATCAAAAGTACGTTTATAAAAAATGCCCGAAGTTAACGTCGACAAAATAGGTGTGCCTCCAACAGATGCAGATTTAAATAAATTAAATATAAATTTAAAGATAAATGACAACAGTCTTAATTCATCCGAAATATATTATTTACATGGAAAATTATACGATAGTGACGATGGTGGGATTGAAATAGATACACAAAAATCATTCGATTGGTATCTGAAAGCGGCAGAGTCAGGACACCTTAAAGCACAATATAATCTTGCTATTCGTTATGCTAATGGAGAAGGAACAATAAAAGATGAACAAAAAGCATTCGAGTGGTATTTGAGAGCATCAAAGTCAGGACACATTAAAGCACAATATAATCTTGCTATCTGTTATGAGGAAGGAAAAGGAACAATCAAAGATGAACGAAAAGCATTCAAGTGGTACCTGAAAGCGGCAGAGTCGGGAGATGCTAATGCGCAAAATAATCTTGCTTTCTGCTACGAAGAGGGAATAGGAACAAACATAAGTGAAGAAAAAGCATTCGAGTGGTACTTGAAAGCAGCATTGTCAGGAGTTCCTCAAGCACAAAATAATCTTGCTTTCTGTTACGAAGATGGAAAAGGGACAATCAAAGATGAACAAAAAGCATTCGAGTGGTATTTGAAAGCAGCAGAATCAGGACACCTTAACGCACAAAATAACATTGGTTATTTCTACCAAAACGGCATAGGAACATTAAAAAAAGAACAAAAAGCATTCGAGTGGTATTTGAAAGCGGCAGAGGCAGGACATATTAAAGCGCAATATAATCTTGCTATCTGTTACGAAGATGGAAAGGGAACAAAGAAAGATAAACGAAAAGCATTCAAGTGGTACTTGAAAGCAGCGGAATCAGGTTATCTTGCAGCACAAAACATCCTGGGCTATTTCTACCAAAACGGTGTAGGAACATTAAAAGATAATCGAAAAGCATTCGAGTGGTATTTGAAAGCAGCCGAGTCAGGAGTTCCTCAAGCACAATATAATCTCGCGTCTTGTTACAAAGATGGAAAAGGAACAATCCAAGATAGACAAAAAGCATTCGAGTGGTACTTGAAAGCAGCAGAGTCGGGACACCTTCAAGCACAATATAATCTTGCTGGTTGCTATGAAAATGGAAAAGGAACAATCAAAGATGAAAAAAAAGCATTCGGGTGGTATTTAAAAGCTGCGGAGTCAGGAGACCTTAACGCACAAGTTAATCTTGGTTATTGCTACCAAATGGGAAGAGGAACAAGCAAAGATGAACAAAAAGGATTCGATTGGTACTTGAAAGCAGCAAAATCAGGTCATCTTACAGCACAATTTAATATTGGCTACTGCTATCAAAATGGAATAGGAACAATCAAAGCTGAACAAAATGCATTCAAATGTTATGTCAAAGCAGCAAAATCAGGACACACTAAAGCACAATATCGTCTTGCAAACTGTTATAAAAATGGAATAGGAATAACCAAAGATGAACGAAAAGCATTCGAATTATACAAGAAAGCAGCAAAATCAGGCTATCTTACAGCACAAAATGAGCTTGGTTACTGCTACCAAAACGGTATAGGAACAATCAAAGATGAACAAAAAGCACTTAGGTTGTACTTGAAAACAGCAAAATCAGGTCACTATAAAGCACAATATAATCTTGCTCTCTGTTATACAAATGGAATAGGTACAATCAAAGATGAACGAAAAGCATTCGAGTGGTACTTGAAATCAGCAGAATCGGGATACTATCCAGCACAACATAGTCTTGCTGGTTGCTATGAAGAAGGAAAAGGAACAATTAAAGATATACACAATGCATTCAAATGGTACTTGAAAAGTCAGAATTAAAGATCAATAATCTTAATTAAAAGAGAAATGAAAGAAGCTTTTATTCAAATATCTTTTAATATCATTTGAAAATGCTGATTCTCACTTTTACTTTTGTTTTGAACAATTTATATGAAATAAAAACAATCAAAAATGATAGTAAAGCATTTTATTTAATATTTAAAAATCATAAAATTTTGATATTTGGTCTTGAAAAATTTTATTAATCATGAATTTTATTTTGAATTAATATTAAAAAAATTTAATTGTGCTTTGAAATAATAAATATTTTGTTATTTATAATTTTATTTTAACTTGTATTATTTTAAATTTTTATATTGTAAAATTTTATATATTTTTTTATTTTATTATTATTAAATTTTAAAAAGAGATTTTTTATTAAATTTATATATATAAAGCCATTCTTGATATAATAAAGTAGTTAGATCTATATATAAAAATTTTAAAAACTTTATTATATATTATATTAAGCAGAATTATTATACAGTTTATAATAAAATATTCCTAAATTCAATTTTATTATATCATGATTTCAATTAGATTTTATTGTATTAAAGTATTATTATATCAAGAGTATCTTTATATAGAGATAATAAAAAAATAATATTTGAGTTTTTATTAATTATAAAAATAATATAATACTTAAATTTTTATTAATTATAAATAAAAAATTCAAGTATAAATTATTAGTATATAAATATATTTTTTATTTTGATAATTAAAAATAATATAATACTTGAATTTTTTATTAATTATAATTAATAAAATATATATCTTTATTATATATAAGAGTTTTTATTTTTAGCTTAAAAAAATATAGTTATCTATTATAATATTTTATTTTGAAGATATTATTTTAATTATATAAAATTAATTAATTTTTACTAATTATTAATATATATAATTAGAATAACTTTTTAAAAAATTTAAAATCTAAAATAATATATATATAATAATTTTTAAAAGAAATAAAATTTATATTTTTATTTTAAAATATTTAATATTAATTTAAATAAGATTATTAATATTTTAGTTTAAAGCTTAAAATTTCTAATATTTTTAAAAAATTAAAAAATAAATTATTTTAGTTATTTAAATAATTTTAATAAATTAATTTTAAATTAAATTTTTAAGAAATTTATTTAATTATATTAAAATTTATATTAATTATTTATTTAAGAAATATTAAATTTTTATTTTATAAAGATTTTATAATTTATATAAATTATAAGTATATTTTTATTATAAATATAATAATAATATAATAAAAATTAAATTTATTATTATTATATATTAAATTTTTAAATTTATAATTAAATTTTTTATTTTGAAAAAATCTAAAAAAAATTTATAAGAAAAAACTTTAAATATAAATTTAAAATTTTAATATAAAAGTTATATATTTTATTAATAAAATTAATTTTTATTATATTATTTTTAATTATTAAATTTATTTAAATTTTTAATAAAAAAATTTATTTTATTTATATAGTTAAAAATAATATAATACTTATATTTTTATTAATTATAATTAGAAATATATATTTTTTATTTTTAATTTAAAATAAATATATTTTTCAAATTTTTTAAAAAATATATTCTAATTCTATATAAAATAATTAATTAAAAAAATTAAATATAATTAGAGTAATTTTTTAAAAAAATATTATTAAATAAAGAATTTTAATTTTATTTTAAGCTAAAAATACTTGATATTTAATAATAAAAATTTTTATAATTATAAAAAATCTATATTTATTAATTATAATTAATAAAAAATTCAAGTATTATATTATTTTTGATTATTATTATATATTAAAAAAATATTTTTATAAGAAATTATATTTTTAATTAAATATATAATAATTTTTATAATTATAAAAATCAAAAGATCAATTTTATTAATAAAATATAATGAAAATTAAAATTTTTTCTTTATATTAAACTTTATAATTTTATTAAGAAATAATTTTTATTTTTATATTAAATAAAATTTATAAATTATAATTTAATATATATTTTTTTAGATTTTTTAAATTTTAGTTTTTTTTTAAAATAATATTTTAATTATAAATTTAATATAAAAATTTTTATTAATTAAATTTTATTTTTAATTAATAAAAATTTTTATATTAACTTTATAATTAGAATAATTCTTTCAGAAAAAATTTATAAACTTTATTTTAATATAAAAATAAAAATTATTTCTTAATAAAATTATAAATTTTAATATAAAGAGAAAATTTCAATTTTCACTATGTTTTATTAGTAAATTTAGCCCCTGAGTCATTGCTTTTGTATATAAATAAATTTTTAAAAACACTCATGAATACATATTTAGAAAGGATATGTGTTTATAAAAGTAAAATATTTTTTATAAGCTTGAAACTGAGTCATACTAGAAAATGTGCATTTATAAAGAATATACATATATTAAAAGAAATTAATTTGTATTATAAATATTTTTATTAATGGCACTTTCTGAGAACTATTACCTTCATGTAAATATAGTCAGTGAACCAATTCGACGCAGCTGGGAGCAAAGAAATTTACGGCAAAATTTTTCCTTGAGCTTAAATTCATAAAAATCGTACTTTTGGGTCCTAAGAAATTAATCAGAAGAAAAAATTATGTCAGAAAGAAAAAAAGTAATGGATTAATTTAAATATGTGTAATGTTCTCGTCTTTCTTCAAGGATATTTATTACGAGCAGTCAGATTGATTTCGGTGGAACAAAATAAACCGAATTTGACACATTTTCTTACCACTTTCAAAGCATTAATTCTTTATTTTCTGAGCAATAGTTATTATATTATATTTATCGTTCAACAAATAATCTTCCATCTTCTCCTTCAGCAAAGAATAAATACTCAATATCCCACTTTTTCGCTAACAACTCTTCAAATAATTCTTCAGAAACCTTATCAACCCAATCATAGGTCTCTGCCACAACTTTCGTCACCTGTTCTCTATCTCTATAACTAAACACCTTTTCGGGATCTTTATGTTCCAGTTTCTCTTGTATTTTTTTATCTAAGCTAAATCTAAATGCACATGCATGCGCAAATCCTTTAATCATATCCTTTGGTTTCGCTCTCTGCGAGAACCACAACGCAATGTGCTGCTGCTGTCTGATATTCTTCAATGCTAATTGAAAGTCTGGACCTTTCCACAACGCATCTATCTTTTCAGAGCTTTTCATCTTCGAATTCGAGAAATATTGAAATGGTGACAACGGTTTTTTCCCGAAAATATAATGTTCGTCAAACACATGTAAAAGAAAATACTCTTCGTGATGTTTGAATCCTTCTTGCTGAAACGCGGAATAAAGTTCTTTGTCGTATTTCTCGCAAGGGTAGTGGTGCAACGCGGGTTCTATCACGATGGGAATATTAAATTTAGATCGGTATCGACGGACAAAGACCTCCCGAACAGAGATTTCTCGAGGTGTGGACACAGATATTTTTGGACACCATTCTAATGGTGAGAATGGTGAATGTTGTAAGAGAACATCGTGAAATATCATTTCAGCACGAGGAACATTCAAAGTGCTATTGGTCACATAAAGACTTGATTGATAGTTTGCGTAAATATTGAGGGCTGAAAATGGCATGAATGCCACGAAAATGTAGAGTACCGGTAATGTTGTTGATGAGATTGAGTCAATAGTTATGAAAGGTGTTGCTGAGGTTGATAAAGCCGTGATTGCAGTACTGAGCACGATTCCAACTCCAGTTCCTAACGATCATTAATGTTAGATTTCATCATATTGAGGAAGAAGGCGGAAAAGTAGGCACTTACCTAACAATCCGGCAGCTGTGGTTTGAGATCCTGATTTTCCTGTTAAATCACCCAAACTTTATAATTTCAATTAACTATTAGTTTCGTAGAATAATAATAGATTCATAATATAATTACAGCTGATAAGTTGTGATATTACTTGTCCCTCAGTGCAAAAGTTTTATGCATTTGTGCTCTAATAACGAACGTACAAAAGTGAGCGAAAAATTTTAAATAAAATTTCTCAGTAGACACAAATACCTCGTAGCAGATCCAGCCAACCAAGCAATATTTTTCCCTAGTTGAATATATTCGTTTATTTTTAAATTTATTCACCACTAACAAACAATATATCACATAACCTTTAATAATTACCAATGTTCGAAATAGAAGCAATCAACAAAAACATATTTGGCCATAACGGCGTCATCAATTCCAAGATTGATGCAAGTTGCATCGCAACCGTTGATTGGAATCGATGTCGTTTAGGCTCAGAGTCGAAGCGATCACTCATTATTGCAGCATAGATTACTCCACCTAATTGTCCGAGTCCATCCTTTATTATCCAATTTAAAGCTGCTGCTAGCTTTGTGAAATTATTTAATATTATTTTAAAGAATTTAAATAAAAAATTCGGATAAATTTGAAATTGAAATATTTGCCGGAATTGATTTCGCGCCAAGGCCCAATCCGTATAGCAACGATTGTGTTGCTAATACTATATTAAAACAACGAGAAATCAGTTTTTAATCTTTTATTCTTCTGAATTCAGAAAAAAGCCTCAATATAATATATACCGCCAGTAACAGCGCCAGCAACATTATGTACAAACTGCCATTTTGCAAAATTCCAATAGTTATGCGTCACCGAATCAGGATAACCTTTTGGCATGAAAGCTGTGATTGCCTGTTGTTTTATTTCGAGAAAAAATCCATGCAGAGTATTTTTTTTGGAAATGTGTACTGGAATTTGAGTGAGATTGATTATTGTTGATTTTTTTGTTGTTGTTTCTGTTTTATTGAAGATTTGTTTGTGATTTTTTTCTTTTTCTTTAACAGGAAAGGTCGATTTATTATCATTATTGTTAGGAAAAATAAGAATATCAATTTTCGAGCGCCACGGTCTTCTTATGAATTGTTTGATTTGTTTTGGTTGCTTTTTTAAGCTATCTCCTTGATTTTTTTGAAATTTATTTTTTAAAGATTCATGACTGACAACTGACGCACGAAATAAATTTCTACGATATTTTTTTATTATTGATGTTATTACGTATTGACGTTGCATTTTTCGTTTTCGGGTTGGCTCAAGTCGTGCCCTATAAAAGAATAGTCTCCAGCAAAGCCCGGAAAGTCGTCCCCTGACGATCAGTACACCGATGATTATCATCCGGCCGAAAATCCGGCATCGAGAGCATAGTCATGTGATTTTTAATGATGTTAATGTCCGAATAAAAATCTTTTTTTTTAAAAAAATGAATTTCAGATACATATCCGATTTATTTTATTTTTGTTTTATCTATATAAAACTCTTTTACCACTAACTAATACATTATTAGCTTTTCATATGGCTTTATTGCTTTGATTTCTCAAGGCATTGAGTCTACAACCTCCTCAAAAACCAACACATCAAATTTTGAGCATGCTTCCTTAAAGAGTAGTCTTGAGCTTTTCACGATCCTTGGGAAGCTTTTTCACTTTTGAATATTATTCTCCAATGGCTTGCAGCCATTTCTATGAAGTTAGGATCAAAACAACACTCTAATCGTTGATTTTTTCTATTTAAATCGATTTTGTGGCTTCTTTCCCCAAGTGTTATTTTTTTTGAAACATCATGTTCTTTCAAATCAAAGAAAAAAATGGCTCAGGATTTCTTTTTTGGTTTCTTGTATATGAGTGTACTATCATCGGGTTACGACACATTTTTCTTGCATCCTAGTGTATATTTAAAAGAAAAAAAATTTAGGGTCAACAATAATAAAAAAAGGGAAAAACGCGAAGCATAATTTTTTCCACGTTGTTACACAAGCAAATAATGCATATTCCAGGAAGAGAATTGAATAATTATTATTCATAAGAGCAATCTTTTCAAACACAAATTTTTCCTTGTAGAGTCAATACAGGGTATCGAATTTATTTTTAGGAAGTTGTTTTAGCAAAGTAGTAGGTGATGCCATATTTATTTAAATCAAATACATCTTTGCTATCTTTCCTGTGATTTGGTTTCTTACATGTATTAACCATTGGACATACTTTATTTCTCAGGGCAGGGGATAACTTCGATACATTTTTCAAACCAAAAACTTATTGAATTGCATGATTTTCAATAATCCTTATTAATGTTAATAATTATATAAATCTATAACAATCTACGAAAAGTCCATGTATAATTAGCACCCTCCCCCCATGTTCGAAGTCTAATTACGAAAAGTCCATTATATTTATAACCCCACCCCACCATGTCCAGAATTATTTACAAACCAATGTCAACAATTCAACGCACAGTAGTCAAATCATTTGAACATAATAGAAATTGGTAATCAACATATCTCGATTGATGTTTTTTTGTGTCGCGGTGTTGATGTCATTAGTGTTAATGTTAGGATCGCGTTCTGCGACTCGTAAGTAAAATTTAAAGAGAAAAATAATGTGGTATATACAAAAGTCCATTATATGCAAAGTCTATTGTACGAATGCTATAATACAAAAGTTGTAATATACAAAGTCCATTGTTTGGTGTTTTACAAGCTTATTGTCCGAATGTAATATACAAATTCTATTGTCCGAATGTAATATACAAATTCTATTGTTCGAATGTAATGTACAAAGAAATTCTTTTTCATAAAGCTATACTGCCCCGACCATCGCAGCAAGCGGTCTCAACCAAACCATCAAGCGTTGAGTCCCAGATATGAATTTTGTTTGTGATGAAAGGAATGGATAAATTGTGTTTATCATATATCAAAAGATGTTTAAGGGGTATATTATATTATGGATATCGTCGTTGGGTGGGATTCCTTTTTATATTGCTTTCAACTAACTAACCTATATAAATAATTAGAATTGAATTGTATTACATGTATAAAAAATATAAAATAATATGTATAGAAGTATTGATCCTAGCAAGATGATGAAAAAGCGCTACACAAATCCAGGGCAACACCTGCCGGCGCGTCTTTTGTCATTCTAACATGAACGGCACCAGTTAAAATGCAAGACGGAAGCCAGTGACCGTTACCCATGCCACTTATCATAGGCTGAATTTAGAGACGACACCCGCTCGCCAAGTTTACAGGACGATTCCCGTTGGGGTGGTTCACGTCTCTTGCCAACAAATTTTATAAATGTAAAATGTCACCTATTTGATCGTTAACATTTTTTCCGCAGCCTTTTCTTCAAGATGGAATTCCACGGTCTATCGAGAGTAGAAGATTACATTATTCTAATTGCAGCATTAAAATTATTATTAATCTTCTTAATTCAAATAAATAAAGTTTATTCCATTATTCTATCCTAAGGTATATGTTAATTGAGTGAATTAACATCCCAATCTAAGTAGGGTTTGGGGTACGGGGGTACTTGGACATGCCATATAGGCATGCCTATATTATGTGATTAGTATTATTAATAAGAATACATGAATTTTTAATTAAATAGTAATATCTTATTTGATTTAACAAATGAAAAGTATTCTATTATAATGAATCATCCTACTATATTTTGTGAAATATATTTAAAATGTTACATGCTTAAAAATAGTATATATAGTTTTAAAATAATATATATGAATATTCCAGAATAATATATAGTAACTCTCATAATTATGAAATCACTTGAATGAAATTTCTTAAACTTTTCATCACTCACTAATATAATAATAATAAATTTTGTAAATTAAACTAATTTAAACTAAATATAAATAATTATTTAGATTAAATATTTGATTAATTTTAAAACTTTTAATTTAATAATTTCATAATTTATTATATATTATAATAATAATTAATTTGATAATAATACAAATTTAAATAAAAATAAAATTATTTATAAATTTTTTTACTAATAAAATTTATTATTTTATATATTTCTTAGTATAAATTATATTATAATTCTTTATATCAAACTTCTAATTAGCTTATAACAGATTTTAACTTTAATTTCTCTTCAAATCTATTATAAAACAACTCATAATATCTCTTTATTAGAAATTTATATCTAATAATAGTATATCTATTTATTTACTTTATTTTATAAATATTTAATAAAGTTAAGATTTAGAAATTAGATAAATTACTTAAGAATATTAATTTTATTTTCTATAAGTCAGACTTAAATAGTTAATATCTTATATTTAAAATTATTATTATATTAAAATATAACTTCAGATTATAATTATTAATTATTTCTAAAAGATTTTTTAAATAGAATTTATTTATAAAAATTTATATTATATTATTATTAATTTTATAAAGATTTTTAATTTTATTTCAAGTAAAATAATCTTATATCATTAAGTTTTTATTATTAAATTTTACTATTTGTTTTATAAATTTATTTTTTAATTTTTTTTATTATAATATTAATAATATTATTTAATATCTAATTTAAATAACTAAAATTTATTTTTATCTGATCAGATTATTTTTTTTAGTTTTTTTAATATATATTTTAAAATTATATCTAATAAAAATATGATAAATTATATTAATACTAATATTAATATTATTTTTTAAAATTTTTTAATATTTATAATTATTATATAATATTTATTAATAATATAATAAAATATATGATTTTCTTGATTTTTAATAAGTAAATATAGATATTCTTATCTTTGTTTTAATAAAAAATATTATTAATTATATATTTCTAATAAATTTTAATTATAATTAACTGATTAATTTATATTTTTTTAACTATTATCTAGATAAAATAATTTTCTGAATTAATATAAAAATTTTGATTTTATTTGATATAAATAAAAAATAAATATATATATTAATCTTTTATATTATAAGTAATTTTTATTTTATATATAATATTATGTAAATATTAATAATTAATAATTAATATAAAATAATAAAATTATAAATTTAAGAAATAAAAAATTTAAAAATAAAATTTATTATAAATTATTATTTTTATCTTTTAAATTTTATATTTTAGCAAGTAAATTTAATTATTTAAATAATTATCTTCTGCAAAAAATTTTTTTATAAAAAAAAATAATTTAAATTAATTAAAATAATTTTTAAAAGTATCAATTACATAATAACTTTCTAATTATCTTATAATATTTACTGTAATCTTTCTAGTTACATTATATAATATATTAAAAAAATTTACACAGAAGATTCAAGATATATAGTAATGTTAATTGAAATAGAATTCATACAGAAAACTAATTCAAGACAGATAAGATTATTATGTTTGAAACTTATTTTTTATTATATTATTATTATTATTATTAAAAATACAAAACAGAAATAGTATAATTTAATATTATATAGAATTAATAATATAATAAATATAATTAATAATAGATAATACTTATATGATAGTATCTCCAGAAGATGCTTATTAATAAATAAATAAAGAAATAAATGATTATAAATGAAATATATAATTATAATAATATACTATCTAAATTAGTAGAACAAGAAAAAAGAAAAATTCTATTAAGAAAACTATCTATAGCTAAAATAATTCAAGTATACTGTATAACTTTATAAGATGATTTTTGTGATATAGTATTATATGTAGTATAGTATGTGATACAGTATATGATGTAATAATAATCTGTAAAAGAAAATTAAATTTGTTATATTATCTTCTTCTTAAGAATTAATTTTCTCATTGATACTTTGATTTAAAAGATTTCATAAGTTCTATAGTATTGTAAAGATTTTTCAAAGATTCTCAGGTAGAATCATGAAAAGGATAATCTAGCTATTTAACTAAATATTATGATTTATTATGAATAATTCTTTTATCTAAAATAACTTTAACTTCAAATTCTTCTTTATCAGTTTCAGATATAATAATTAGTTGTGATGATATTGGATAAATAAATTCTTTATTATCATTAAAATTATATAATTTTAATAATAAAATATAAAAAATAGAATGAATTTTTATATACGAAGATAAATCTAGTTTATATACAACAAGTAAAATTATTTTAAGAATAATGAAAAAATTAATATATTTAGATATAAGCTTTTTATTAGAGTATTATTTATTCACAGATCAATAATATTATAAGTTAAAAGTAAGACTTGATCTCCAATTTTAAATTCTTGATAATAATAATATTAATTAGTATATTTAGATTAGTAATTTTGTACTTTCATTAATAAATCTTTAATATCTTTTATTATATTATTTCAA